GCCATGGAGAAGCTGGTCAAAGAATGGAGAGACTCACAGTTTGAGGAAACTGTACTTGAGGTAATCTCTAAATCCCCCTCTGTTCATACAGAACCTCAAATTCTCACCTCTCCTAAATCACCTCATCAATCACAACCCACAACCAATTTCCTGACTCCCTTTACCACTCCACCACAATCTCTTCAACAGAAATCCTCACCCCAACAGAAAACCACCCCACAACAGAATACCCCTCCACCCTCACCTCAGAAAACCCCTTCCAAGGAGAAAACTCTCTCCAAGGAAAAATCCCCATCTCAACAGAAAACCCCCTCTAAACAGAAAACTCCATCCAAACATTCCTCACCATGTAAACCAACCCAATCCAACAGAAACCGTCCCCCTTCACCTCCACCATCTCCCCATCAACAGAAAACCCCTCTACATCAGAAATCTAATTCTCCTACCCCATCTCAACAAAAGTCACCCTCTCCTGCTGCAAATTCTCCAAGATCCTCTCATCACTCTGCCGCATCCACTCCAAGGAAGAAGCCACTGCACCGTGTCCTCTCTTCTGATGGTGACAATGATGGGTTCCTTCCATCATCTCTGGCATGAGATCTCACTTCAAAGAGGAGGAACACACCTACCAGAGAACCTTCTCATCAACCTCCCTCTATGCAACAAACCACTGGCAGGAGGCCTCAAATGCCTAAGGCCAGAGGTCTTGAGATGCCACGATTTGGACCTGAAGAACCCCAAATTCCCTTTAATCAGTTCGTAGAAGCTGCAGAAGAATTTGGTGGTCAGATGTTGGATGGGATGAACAAGCTCATCCAAATCAATGACAAGCATTACGAGCATCTCTCTCATGTAAATGAGAATTTCAACTCTGGCATGCACTTCATTTCAGATAGCTTTGCTACACTGACAGAGTCCCTCCAGAAATTCATGACCTCATCCACTGCCAAGACAGATGCTCTCACAACAGAAGTAGAAGGTATTCACAAAACCCTATTCACCTTTCATCAGACCTTGATGGCTCAAGGCAAAGCTATTGAAACCATCTCTGGAAATGTTGAAGAGCTTCAATGGGCTGATACTAAGACTAAGGAACAGTTGTTGGACATTGAGGAACTGTGCAAAGTTCACCGAGATCAAGCCAGAACTCTCTTTGCTGCTGACAAAGAAAGATACCATAAATCGGTTCTACTTGAAGCAAGGTCTAAGGATATTGCCTCAGCTATTCAGAAGCAACAAGGTCTTATAGAAGGTCTCAATTCTGTCACACAGACTCTGCCAGAAACCCTTGAGCAGATTGCCACATCTCAGGCTTCAGAGTTTCAAAAGATAGTAATGATGATCTCTGACCTGGATGATGCCAAAGGGGGGGGGGGGGGAGGATCCCCAGCAGAAGAAGCAGAAACAACCTTCCAGAACCTCAGTTGGCCCTTCTACTGGTGTTGATCCAGCTCCTTATTTATATTTCCAGGCTTCCATACAAAAGAAGAAAGACGCTGGAATCCCTAAACCTCCTTCTCCTCACAGACAAACATCCAAGAAGAAGAAAGCTCTAAACTTCAGAGAATGGAGATTAGGTGGATCTCAGAGGATAGGTAGAGCCCAGTTTGAGGAATACAACAGAAGATGACCTCTACTCAGCAGCAGAACCTCTACCTTGACAAAGATGGTCGAATAAGAGTTAGGCATGGCGGCTCACTGGAAGAAGCTGAGTACTGGTATCATAAGAGAATCCTTCCAGGGAAGGACATCCATGAAGGTGTCCTCAACTATCTTGATTGCAAGCTATCACCCATTTGGGCATCCTATCAAAGAGCTGGGAACCTCACAGAGATCAGAGAAGAAGTCAATGCAGAATTGAAACGGCTGAAAGAATTGGATGATCAAGCAATAGCTTATGCTGCAAGGGAAAATCTGTAAAGGACCACCACTACCCTTTCCCTTAATAAAAGAACATCTCTGCCTTTCACTTTGTAAGGCAATTCTCTCATATCTGTTTTTTTTTCTGTTATGGTTGTGTGTTTGTTTTTATCTTGTTCTATTATCTGCTATCTGAATGTATCGTACTCTTACTATTTTCCTATGTTAAGTTGCCCACCAAGAATTTTAATGAAAGTTTTTAAACTTTATTTCTTTTATGGTGAAGGCTCTTCTCTGGAAATAGTTAAAGGGTTTTGGCATCATCAAAAAGGGGGAAATTGTAAGGAATAATTGTAATTAGATTTCGATGATGCTATATTAATTAGGATTTTAGAATACCCCCTCTTTAGATTTATTGTATTAGAAATTTTCCTTGTAAAGGTTCTTAGAATAGTCGACTGACAGAAGACCTCCAGAAAGAAGTCCTTTGGCTCTCTGTTGACCCTCGTCCAGACAGAAGACCTTTGGCTCTCTGTTGACCCTCGTCCAGACAGAAGACCTTTGGCTCTCTGTTGGTTCTTACTCAGACAGAAACCCCCTGGTTCTCTGTTGGGCATCACTACAACAGAAACCTTCTAGACTCTATGTTGGTTCACCTCTGACAGAAGATCTCAGGACCCTCTGATAGCTTATTCCAACAGAAGTGCTCAAGACCTTCTCTGAGAGACTCTCTGCTGAAGTCACCAGAAGGCCTGATACTTAGAGCATTTTCGTGGAACTACTTCAGCCGGTAAAACCATCTGAAGATTCCCTCAACGGCTAGAGGACTTCAACGGAAAAGCTACAATACACGCATTAAATGCACATTTAATGCACCTTGTACCCTGAAGAGTAAAAGCTGATGATTGGCCGATATTTCAGGATTACTTTATCTCAAATTAGCAACTCGTCAACTTTCCCGGGTCCTACTGGTCAAGTCAACTGTTCGCGCATTTAATGCATTGTCCTCCTCCTCCAACGTGAAGACAACCCAAGTATAAAAGATACTCTACGAAGAACAACAGGAAAACTTTGCTACATCCTTTGCTCAACACTTGCTCAAACAAAAACCTTCAAGGATTCAAAATCAAAAAGCCTCCTTGAGATTAAAACTTCATCATCTTCTACAAGAGAAGGTAGACGTTGGAAAGATCCTTATTTCCAACTCAAGCAAAGTTCCATTTGTTCTTCAATACTTCAATCTCCTCACTACAAATCTTTTGTAATGAAGCTAGTTGGAAACCCCTGTTCTTACAAGAACTCTTCTCCAACGAGAAGGACGTCCAAGTAACTGGAGTAGTGAAGTGGTGATACTTCAAGGAAGCTCAGTGAAAGGACCAGTCTTAAAGGAAGCAAGGAAGTGCATCCCAGGAGACATCTAGACTTGAAGAAGACGTGGAGAGCTTCTTAAGTGCTAGGACTAAGGCGTTGTAAACGGACGTTTTTACAAGCTTAGTGGAACAGTGGATTAGAGGGACGAGTTGTTCCTTGAACCACTATAAAAATCTCTGATGTCATTTACTTACTGCTTTTATTTCTGGCACTTAGTTAGAACTAATTAACTCCATATACTTGGTCTCTGTGTTCAGCAGAACGTGTCTTGCGAGTTAACAGAAGGCCTACTGCCTTTGCTTCTCTGAGGCTGATCAGACAGAACCCCTACCAGAACCCCATCTGTTGTCAGTCTGTTCTGTCAACAGAACGGGCTATTCTGTTAAATCTGGTACTTAGTTTGAAAAAATTAAAAACCAATACAGTCTATTCACCCCCCCCCCCCTCTAGATTGTACCCAGTATAACCGGGACCAACATAATATTTAGGGTCCGACACACAATATAATTAATCGGAATTAATTGAAATTAATTAATCATTTACTCGTATAATATAATTAATATACTCGTAACTAGTTTTCAAAGTGAATAAATATTCACGAACTCAACTAGTCATCCTCATCGACATTGGTTATTGTACTTTCAATTACATTTTAATACTAATGGATTAATTAATTCAAGTTCAAATTGGGAGCGGTGTCACATGTACCGCCACCCTTCCTTCTCCTCATCTCCATCGCCACTTTTCCTTCTCCTCACCTCGATCCTCACCTCCATCGCCACTCTTCCTTCTCTTCACCTCCATCGCCACTCTTCCTTCTCCTTTTAGCCGCATTATACAATCCTCTCTCTCGAACCTTCTCTATGTGCTCTTCATCTCTTTGTCATCCATCGGCCTCCACTGCCCGCAACTTCCTTCTCCTCACCTATACCGCCACTCTTCCTTCTCCTCACCTCCATCGCCACTCTTCCTTCTCCTCACCTCGATCGTCACCCCTCATAGTTCTAACCTCCTTCTCAATGGATCCAAAACCATGCAAATCCAATTCCGATGTGATCTGGTCCGGTCCAGTTTTGAACCGGTGCCACCCATAATTGTAGGGGAGCGGGGGTTGAAGTGTCATTTCAGCTGGGATATACCATGGGTCATTATTAATTGCTTTATTTGCTTATTATATACTACATGCGTCCCGTTGGAAGGTTCCCATAGCAAAACGGCAAAATTAATTAGGCAATAATTAAATAAAGTAGTTCGAGTATATTTTGAGAAATAATTTTAATAGGCATATATTATAATATAGCTAGTATTGTTAACTATGATGTTATAAATGTATTATCTTTAATATTTAATGATCAATTTGTCGCTTAAGATTGTTAATTGTTTCCTAAAATGAAAAAGGAAAAGGGTCAAATAGACTCTTCAACTAAGTTAAAAAGTGCAAATCACCCCTTATATAGAAGGCTTTGTCCTGCCGTCACCATTTTTGACGGTTCTCGGAGGAACATTTTGATGAAATTTTTTGAACATCTTCTTCATTAAGTCTAGTTTACTCATACCAAATTTCAGATGAAAATTCAACCGGGAAGACAGTCAAATGATTTTCTGAAATGTATTGCGCTATTTAAATGCGCTATTATCTTCAAAAAATCATTTGACACTCTTTCTGATTGAATTTTAGCTAAAATTTGATATGAGTAAACCAGAATTAAGGAAGAAAATCGTTCAAGAAATTTCATCAATAAATTCAATCGAAAATTGCCCCAAGTGCAGAACTTCCTTATAGATTTGCACTTTTTTATTTGGAGTTGGCCATTCCTGAAGAAACGTGCACCAAAGATTCTTGGCATATTTCTTTGTAGAGAGAGGATTTTGGAGTGGGAGAGTTTGCAGGGAGGAGACATGCGTAATTTCACCCCAACAGGCAACACTTGTGGTTCATTCTTCTTCTTCTAATTGTACCGGATCCCAATTCCCGAAGGTCCCCTCTCTCTGCCTCTCTTCCTTTCAATTTTCAGCTACTACCTATCTATGAATATGCAGTTTCTTCGTTTCCGGCGTGCCTTAAAAAATATGTGGGATTTTGAGTACGTGGTTTAGCATACAAGCTGCACTTCGTTGTTGTTGTCGCTGTTTCTTTTGATTATCTGCTACACCTGTGGGATTTTGTTTGTATGCATGTGGGTTTTAGGTAAATCAGGTAATGGGATGTTTTATAAGAGACGATTCTTTAGTTGAGTGCAGAATGAAGGAGTAAAGGTACTGCCTTGTTTTGGTATTTTTTATGTTTTCATAAAAACTACGTGGGTTTGACCGACTACTTGTATGTAAGCAGTAAGCAGTTTTATCCTTTTCTTTTTCAATAACTTGTTTTACTCTCATGAGTTGATCTGGGGAAAGGATCTGGAGAGTTTACTACTTGAATATTGATGAGAAAAGAGTGACATACAGATGAGACTGGTAAAGATTTTAACTGCCGTTTCCTCACTAGCCTTTGAGTTCTATCTCATCCAAAAACTGTGGGGCAAAAGAAAAACATATGTGCTGTTTTTCAACATAAGTTTGTGCAATACCATTTTCCTTTCTGCCTGATTAATTCAATGCACCTTTAGAGTCTTCTTGGAACCTGGGTAAGTCGAGGCAAAGAAAATAGGGAGGAAAGTAGGTATACAAAAAATTGGGTGAAAATTAAAGATAGCTTTGAACTCTCTATCCATGATGCTTCTTCAAAATCATCTTATTTATTTATTTATTTTTATCATATAGAGTCGACTTGCAAATCTGATTATGCATTTATAATAATCTTATTTCGTTAACATATCTGATTATGCATTTTTTAATAATAGTATTTCATTTTTAAATTTATTTTTCCTGTGTAAGCCGAACAGATGCGAATAACATTCCTTAGTAATTTCTTTCCTTTCCTAGCATTTTTCAAGATCCAAACATGCTCTTAAGCTATCCTCCTTTTATTCCCATATTTCTTGCAAAAATCTTCATCAGGAAATGGAACATCTAAGCCTGCAATTACAAGGTCACAACTCGCCTCCAGCTCAATCATCATCGTTTCTGTCCCAACTAGAAGTTACTGCTACAAGAAGAACTACTTCTCAAGATCAGTCTTGTGTTTCATCTGGATCGGGTAAGTTTTCTTATTATTCAACTCCATAGCAACTTTTCTTCATTATTACATAAAATGATGCTATTAACCCCTCTCTTCTTTTTTCTATTGACTTGCTTTAAGAAGAAAGTCATGTAAAACAATTAGCTGCTCCAATCAAGCCCATGTTCTTCATCGGCAATCCAGATTTTTCTGTGAGTCCGTCCCAATGCGAAATGAGTCAATCCGCGGTATGTCACAACTATGGTTCGTTTGGAAACTAATCAATTAAAAAACTAATTACATTTTCATTTTCCTACGCATTTACCAATATTATTCATTTATATCCCTACTTTTGAGGGTTATTATCTGTCTTCATAGGCATTAAACTGATTTTTTTATTTTTTTGTTTGCTATCATGTCAGATTCACTCTCAGTACAATTACTCAGATCCATACTACAGTGGGTTATTTCCTGCTTATGGACCTCAGCCTTTTGTGAGTACTATGTTTCTTCTTTTCCGTGTGCTGCATGGTTGTTTTGTTAAAGTTAAGAAAATTGTCACTACTATTTATTTCTTTAAATACTTTCACATATTCACGTTCTGCTTATACTCATTTTGGTCGGGGGATGCTTCAAGTGTTTTTATCTTTATATGCTCGAGAGAGTGCTTTGTTTGCATTGATGGCAAAAAGGTTTCAAGTTTCATTTCTCAAGTATTATTGAATTAAGGGATCCCTTGAATTAAAGAAAAAAGAGATTTTGTAAGGGTTTGTTTGGAAGCTGGAAATGCTATGGAACAAATGGGAAGGAATGAATATAAAGGGGAAATTTGTAAGGAGATGTTGGCTGAAAGTATAACTGACCCAATTAACTAATCTATTTTATTTAATTTTTCTAATTATTTATTTGTTTATATTTAATATTCTCTACAGACTACACCTAAAAAATGAATCAAACATACTCAGTATGTCCCACCTGCAAAGGAGGGATAAGATGCACAATACACCAACCTGACCCCTCTCTCCCTAGGATTTGAAATTTTATAAATTTGTAAAATTCAGGGAAGAGTTCATCAGCCACCCTCCATTGATTATTTTTTGAAAAAATTTAATTCACGACAGTTGTGTTAACGTTAACATTTACCACATTAGTTGACATGTGGTGGCACTTAAGATCCATAATGGAGAAAAGTTAATTTGACAAAAATGCCAAATAAATGCCAGATTAGCAAATTTCAATGCTGTTAGTGCGTAGACCCTTCTATGCTAACGGTGCAGTACCACATTTCTTAGTTTTTCAGAAAACAAACCACAGACCCCTACATCTAAATGCGCCAAATCACATGATACTTTTTATGAACTTTTCCAAACATCCAAAGGTGAAAAGTGATGTGAAGTGCACATAAAAGTTACAGAAGTGCTAGCTAACGTCACAACGCAACCCCTGGAATTTGATATTCCGATGTAAAACCGAACATTAAGATTTGCCTAGGTATTTTTTTGCCTTTCATCTTTCATTTCCAGGATCCAAACATAGCCTAAAAGATTACGGATATAATTATATATTAGTTCACCCTTTTTCTCTATTGTTTCGGTTTGGTTATGTGTTCCTGATGCAGCCTCAAATGGTTGGTGCTGCGCCTGCTCGGGTACCATTACCTATAGATGTTGCAGCAGATGATGGACCAATTTATGTCAATGCAAAGCAGTATCATGGAATACTAAGGAGGAGACAAATACGCGCGAAACTTGAGGCACAAAACAAACTTGTGAAAAACAGAAGGGTTTGTATTTAGTTTTACTCTCTAGGCTTTTCAATAATTTCCTAGTTCTAAAATCCAGAAATCTTTTAATCTCGTGTTTTAAGAATCTAAATGTACAAAAGCTGATCATTCCAACACATATGTATGGGAGGGGGCATTTAGGTACGCAACTTGAAAACTTGCTTGTGGTTTCATGTCATTTTTCAGAATGTGTTTTTCGGTTTTGCGGGAATACTAATGTGGACCAGTCTGCCTTTTTAAAAAATGTTTGTGGTTTTTAATTTTTCTTTCAAAATTGACTATTTGAAATATATTTAGAAAATGTGGCTGGAATTGATGATTCCCTCTAGCTGCACGTTTTACTAAAATTTGAAGTGTTAAACACCTGTTTGTGGTGATTAAAGACTCATTTTTTTTGGCGGGGGAAGCATTATTGAGAGTGTTCTATGTACAGATTGATCAAAAAGGAAAAAAAGCCAACTTTGTTGGAGTTTTTTCCCCATAAATAACAAAGCGCAAACTGCTCAAAACCAACAAGCTGGAACATCTAACTTCTTGATTTTAGCAGTTTTGGTGTATTCTTTTAAATCAAAATAACAGCATTGTCAGATGAAATGCTATACTACCTCCGTCCCAAAAAAACTTTCCTATTTCATAAAATTTGGACCATGATTTTGATTAGTACTACCTCCGTTCACTTTTAATTGCAACATTGGACTTTTTGCACTATTCACATATTCTACTTTGACTATATTTTATTAATTAATGTATTATAAATTAAAATTTTAAAAAATATTGTTACATTCTTCTCATTCTAAATTTTCAAAATATGATTTTTTTTAAATTTTTTACTAATATGGAATGAAAGATATTGATGGTCAAATTTGTGCGTTGGCAAACGTGAAATGTTGACTGTTGCAATTAAAAGAGAACGGAGGAAGTATATATTATGAAAGTTATAAATTTTTTACTTTTATGAAAATACTTTTAACAAAGAACAATTTTATAACATTTTTATATTATAAATAATTTCCAATAAAAAGATATGGTTGATCGAAGTTTTAAAAATGACGAAGTTTTTTGGGATGGATGTGGTATTATTATCAAAAAAAATGATTCATACACAGCTTGATGGTTGATGTTTATGGTTCTCATTTCGTAATTAAAAAAACAGCCATATCTGCATGAGTCTCGCCACCTTCATGCAGTTAAGAGGGTTAGAGGATCAGGTGGCCGTTTCCTTAGCACAAAGAAGCTGGTGTTGCAAGGTTCTTCTTCTCCTGCCACTGATTCTATTCTGCAGCAGCACAGTTCCTCTTCTTCGCACATCCTGATGCCCCGAGCTGTTGCTGCTGTCTTCCCGCAGCAGCAGCAGCCCGATCACAGACTCTTGGGCATTTCATCTCACATGCAAGGCGGGATCCGGGAGTATTATTCTCCTATCCTACTGTGATTAGGATTTCCCAAGCTCTCATAATTCATTTGCCGGCATTTCATCCTTGGCTATTGTTACTTTTGCTCTCTAGTTTGGGAATTTGTCTTACTCACTCGATTATTAACTGCAAAACGTTCTTGACTTTATACGTTTCAGAGAATGCGTGATTCCTCGTCATACTTTTAAGGTTACACTGATAAGAAACAACTTGTCTGTATGAATCAAGACTTATCATATATTGACTTCTTGACTGTTTATTGTTAATTGTTTTTTTCTCTCTGCATGCATAGATTAGTTCATTTTCGTTTTGCCTAATTCATTATTACCCATGAGTTCAACTTGAGGTGGACCGGTTAACAGTCCTAGACTGGAGGTGAACTGTTCACGTCTAAGTGGAAAGAGTTTGTTTAAAATAAGATTTTGAAGCAAAGATTGCCACTTTTAAGTTGGTTTGCAATTTTATCTTGTTAACCCATCTTTTGGAAATCCATCTAAAGTTGTGTCCGTGAAGGGTTTAGGAGGTTTTTGAAGCTATTGCAGATTTGCAGTTAATATTAGGGATGGATGGGGATGGGTCGGCCTGACCCGGGACTATTGATGGACTCGGGCCGGGTCAGGCCCGGGCCGGGCCACCCGCCCGGGTCACGGGTCGGGTCCGGTTCGGGCCGGTTAAATTTTTTTATATATAATTTATATTTTATAGTTTATAGTTTTATACGAGTATTAAAAACAAACTTCAATTGCATTTATTTGAAATGAAATAGGAACTACATTTGAAAATTAAAACAAACTTTAAGAGATAAACATTTTGAAAATTGTAATCAATCGGAACTTCCTGCACCTCCCGATCCTTTCGCTTTGTCACATGACTTCATATGTTTGATTGTCATTCCGAATCCGTCAGAAACCCCCATGCAACATTTTTTCTTGCACCATTTGCAAATTGTGTACCACATCCCGGTCTTCGGGTCCTTCTGCTTATCAAAATTATACCGTATAATGGCATCTTGATTTTCCATCTTAACTTCTTAAGTATAAACTATAAAGTAGATATATAAATAATAAATATAATATATTGGAGAATAAGAGAATTAGAGAGTAGAGAGTTAAGAATAGGATTTAGGAAGAATTGGAGATGAGATATGAAAAAATGTTTAAGATTAGGAGTATTTATAGGTTTTTTTACCCCCCACCCCCCACCCCACCAGCCAACCCCCCCGGACCCCCCCTTTACCCCACCCAACGGCTATATAGCCGTTTGGGTTGTCCCCAGCCCCACCCCCAACGGCTAGTAGCCCAAGATTTAAAAAAAAAAAATTAAAATAGGACCGGACCCGGGCCCGACCCGGCCGGGCCGGGTCACATTATTCCAGCACCGAGCCCGTCCCGCCCCTTCCCACCGGTTCGGGTCCATACCCGGTCCCGGACCGCCCAACCGGGCCGGGCCGGGTGGCCCGAACCGACTCCACCCCTACCCGGGACCCAGCCTGGTACTGTGCAGGCCCGGTCTGCCTGGGCTGTACCCGGACCGGGACTGGGGGCCCAAACTGGGAGGAATATGGGTGGGCTCCGGGATGTTGAAATGGTGGACCGGCTCGGGCCATTTTTTGTTTTTCATTTTTCCCATTCATTGACTGCTAGGTGGGCGGGGATGGGTGGTGGGGATAGGAATAAATTCGAAAAGCCATTTTTTTATATAAAAAATTGTGACCGACTCGACCTGGGCCTGGCTCGGGTTGGTCCCGGTATGAATCCGGGCCATTATTTGGCTTGCAACCCAAAACCCCGGTCTTGTCCAATCCCGTTCAAGGTCTTGGCCCGGCGCAGGCCCGGTCCACCCCTAGTTAATATTTTGAGTCTGGAGGCGATCCTTACTTTTGGCTTATCAGTGAAACACTTTATTGTGTGGTAATTAAATTACTCTGAATTTGTAAAAGATGAATATTTGAATTATTTTTTATATATTTTCTCTCTATTTTGTTAACAAAATGTATTTTAAATAGAATACTTTCACAATTTAGTAATTTCAATGCTCAGGTGAGAAGATTTTAATGGATATAGTAGTCACATTTGAGCTAAAATAAACAAGAGATCCACAACTCATTTGTGGTAGGATCAAGTCCTAGCGTAGAGTACTTTGAAAGGAGAACACAATCATATATAAAAGTGTGCAAAATCATTTAAAATTGAATGAGAATGATTCCCCGAATTTCGCTACAAACTAATTTCAGAAGAGAATTTGTCTTTATAAGCTTTCCTTAGCTATTAGATTGGGTCCTTAGGGCACTAAAGTTTTGTTGTGCAGCAAGATCCGTATACGGTGATGATGGGGTATATTGCCCCGGCCTGTTATTGCTCAGGAGACCAAGGCTTCACCCCGGTATGGAGCCCAGTGGGTGAGGCCCATTTAGGCCCCTCGGGCCCATTGAGAGCCATTGAGGCCCCCTCGATCCACTTGGGGATTGTTTTGGCCCATTAAGGCCTTTTCGGCCCATTAGGCTAGAAATCCCCCCACCCCCACCCTCCTCTTTTATAAATAGGAAGCGAGGCTTCCATTTGAGGGGATGTTTTTTGGGCTCTTCTCCCCCTGGAGGATTACTTCCTCTCTGCTCCCCATTACTTCTTCTTCCTTGCTTCTTCTTAGAGATTAGATGAGCTCATAAACTCCATTAATGAAGGTTCCGACAAATATATACTATGTAAATGGTGAGGAGAGCAATCAGAGCATTAATGAGAAAGAGAGGGCTTGGACGTTAGCCTAAAAAGTCTTGTGGTTTTCTCCCTTTCCGGGTTTCCACGTAAAAACATAACATTTTATACATATTTATATCTATATCTAATAGTTTATGTTGGATTTAAACTCAACAGGTGAGCTTGGAATTAACTCTTCACATGTGTGCCGCAATCTGTTCGACCGGGTTGGGTTCAGGTCTTTGACCCGTCAACGACCAGGTTTAAGATAGGAAGATTTATTTTTGTGCTCCTTTGAATCGGATTTCTCCCCCCACACAAAAGGTCTTGTGTTTTGACAAAACGTTTCCACCTGATGGAGTTTAATTTCAACTACGATAGCTAATATAACAAAAATAGAGTATTTTGACAGTGTAAGGCAATTTTAGTATACAGAAAGTGGATCCCTTTTAGGTTAAGTACAGGAAGTATATATAGCCATAGAGCTACAGTAGCCTAAAGAGACATAAACAATACATTCAATAAGTTCGATCGTGAGTATCCCATAATTTCACATTTATCACTCCTCTATGTCCACTTCTCTTCTGTTAAGTCTCTGCCGCTGCCAGATATAGCTATGTGAGATAGATAGCTTGCCATGTAAGCCTTCAGGTAAGTCCAACCTTGCTAGGATCCAACCTAGGCTCGAGGCCTGCTGATCAGGTCAGCCTGCCTGTGGGTTCTTCTGTGGGTCGCGATCCCCTATTAGGCCCAGTTGGTTCCATTAATTAATTAATCCCGTGTAATGGGCTTCGCTCATAATCCATAATTGGACCATGGTCACAGTCTACCATTACGAGCCCCCTACTCCGTAAAATAAGTCAGACTTGATTTTAGAAGAGTAACAAATTTCAAATTTTGAATTTCCCCCATGAAGAGTAGAGCCATTTCGCATTTAATGTGAGGTTGTAACTTGACACGCGTGCATGTGATTTTCAAGTTTTCCTTTTTATTGCACAATTTATCGGCTGAATCTGAAAACTCGTATAATGGTGATCGATGACTATACCTACGTCTACGTCGGCCACCAAGCCACCACCACAACCGCCAGAAAACCCATGGTTAAGGAAAACATTTGCTGATGTGGTGGCTGATCGTATTAACGACGGATTATCCACAAATGTCCCTACGAGATTTAAAGGAATGTCGTCAATTACTTTCCCTGAAAGTGAGGTTCAAACATTAGCAGCTCGCCATAAGTGTGCCTTGATCGGTTATTTTTTCAAAGGGAAGCCTGGTTTACCATTGATATGTAAGGCATTTGAAGTAATTGGATTCAAAGATCAGTTTCATCTTGGTATACTAGATCTGAAACACATTTTGATACAATTTGAAAATGAGGAAGATTATCTCCGGTGTTGGAATAGACAGACCTGGTCTATCCATGGAAGTGTGATGCGTGTGACCAAATGGTCATCGGACTTTCGTCCTAATGTAGAATCTTCAGTGGTACCATTATGGATAGCCTTAGAGGGATTGGCTATTCATTTGCAAGCTAAAAGTGCATTGTTTGATATTGCGGGTCTGATAGGCAAACTCTTAAAAAATGATTCAGTGACAGCCTTTTAATCAAGGCCATATGTTGCACGTGTGTGTAGAGCTTGATTTGATGAAAGAGATGCCTAATAAAGTTTGGATCCAATGTGGATCTACTGGTTTTTCTCAATCCGTTATTTATGAGAATAAACTAGAGTATTGTGCTTATTGTTTACACTTGGGGCATTCAGTGCAAAAGTGTCCAAAGATGATAAGTCTAACTGTCTAAGCAACCAGCAGCTATTGATCAACCAATTGAAAAATGGATTGCTAAAACCATACATAAGGAGAACAATGAGAAGCAAATAACCCTATTTCCGGACGGGGATAAGGGGGAAGGAAAGAAGGCAGATATAAATTTACAAGACAACATAGCATCTACATCGAAGATAACAACCAATGAGGGATTAATCTGTGATACCGAGGAGTTTCTTGACACTAAAGAACCACCTGAACCTGAACATGTTATATTGTTATACAAGAGCAGTATGAGTTTCTAAATGATCTTCAACTTATATTAAATACAGATGTTCCTGGTGTTAGGAAATCAAACACTAAAGACTTGGGGGGCATAGTTGATGATTTGGCATAGATACTGAGTTGATGAAGAAGGATTACTTCTCATATGGTAAGAAACCAAAGAGGACATAATATGTCCAAATTTGGAAGGAATGTTTACCTGATATTCGTTCTAAAGTAGAATATGTAGTCAGACTTCACGAAGCAAGGGATGTTAATTCAGCAATTCAGCTAGAAGACAGTTTACAAGCATATGAGGAAGGGTTTATAAAGGTAACCAGAAAAGAATTAAGAGAAGGGAGGTACCTGATATCTCACCGAGGGTGACTAGGAATGCATCCAAGAAGAAGGATATTGTTGCCTCCAATACTAAAGCTTCAGCTCTTGGGCTACTTCAAGCCCCTGCAGCAATTTCTAAATGAATTGCATCATTTGGAATGTAAGGGGCCTGGATATGTCCTCCATCGGACTTACCCCACTAAAACAACAATGGAGGATCAATTTTCTTGCAGGTTCTAGGATTTGATAAAGTTCTTTGTTCTACTATTACTAAGATTTGGATTTACTGGGAATCTTCTGTTGTCTCTATCCTTGATACAGTGTGGGATCCCCAGTTTGTTACTTTGAAAGTTAAAGTGGGTACTTTTATTGGTTGGTTTACAGTGGTGTATGGGAAGCATAATTACCTTATAAGAAGACTACTGTGGAATTATATGATGTCCTTTTATGTCCAAAGTAAAGAGCCATGGCAAATAGGGGAGACTTTAATGTTATTGCTCTACATAGTGAACACAATGGAAATTCTAGCCACATTTGCAAAGTATTCTGGATTTTTCTAATGCAATTGCTTCTAGTGAACTGATTGATCTGCCAGTTTCAGGATCTAAATATACTTGGACTGGGTTGAGGTCCAATGGGAGACTTTGGAGAAGACTAGATAGGGTCCTGCTCAATGAACAGTTTGTGGGGGTTTTAAATCAAATTCAGATCTCCCATGTACCACAGACCCCCTGTGATCATTCACATATATTCTTACAATGGTTTATGTACTCCCAAACTATTCCCAAGCCTTTTAAATTTTGGAATATGTGGATATCTCATCATTCCTTTATGCAGACAGTTTCTAAGAATTAGAATTCACATAATTTCTGGGGAGGGATGAGAGATCTTGTTTCTAAACTTCAATGTTTGCAAAGGATCTAAAGAGCTCGAATAAAGATATTTTTGGTAACATTTTTGAAGATATTAAAAGGTGTGAGCAAGAGGTTATTCAGGCTGAAATGGTTTTTGAAAATGACCCCTCTGAGGAGAATAAGGAAAGCTGGTCAAACAAAAATGCTCTGTTGACTTCTAGATATAAACTGGAGACAAATGTTTGGAAGCAAAAGGGTCATATTAGATGGTTAAGAGAAAGTGACTCTAACTCACACTTTTACCATTCTTTTGTCACTATCGGAAACAGGAAGCAACAAATTAATGCAATTCTTAATTCAGGTGTACCTATTTCTGGGCAGTCTGCAATAGGGGAAGAGGCAGTTAAATACTTTTCCAGCTTGTATTCTATGGAAGATGTTACTGATGCTGATGATATTCTTCAATACATTCCACATATTGTCCAACCTGAGGATAATATCAAATTATTAGCTCTTCCAGATGAAAAAGAAGTTAAAGAAGCAGTTTGAGGATTAAATCAAAATGGGACTGGAGGCCCAGATGGCTTTAATGGCAAGTTTTATAGGATTCATATTCCTAAAGGGGTCTCTAGCACACTGGTGGTACTTATTCCTAATTCTGACCATCCTTCCTCCTGAGATTATAGGCCTATTTGCCTTAGTAATTTTGTGAGCAAAATTTGCACAAAAATCTAGGCTACTAGGTTATAAGTTATTCTACCTAAACTCATTTCAAAGGAACAAGCAGGATTCATGAAAGACAGGGAAATATCATAGCAGATTTTAATTGTTCAAGAAATGATTCATTCTATCGATAAAAAGTGAGGGGTTCTAATGCGGTAGTCAAGCTAGATGTGGCTAAGGCATTTGATAGAATGTCTTGGAAATTTCTTGCTGAAGTGCTTACTAAATTTGGGTTTTCAAATCAGTTCATCCAGCTTGTCATTGGCAATCTTCAGTCTACTTTTCTATCTTTTGTGATTAATGATGTACCCCAGGATTTTTTCAAACAAAAAAGGGAGTTAAAAAAGGGGATCCCTTATCACCCTTTTTGTTTATCCTTGCCTCCGAGGCATTTTCTAGGGGGTTGCAGTGGCATATAGATTCTGGTTGTATTAAACTTTACTGGCTTGGTTCTTTTGGTTTTCCAGTCTCACACCTTGGATTTGCTGATGATTCTTTGATCTTTATTAATGGAGAGTCCAAATCCCTTGTTAGTTTTAATAAGTTCATTAAATCTTACCAAAGGGCATCCGGACAGCTGGTCAATCTGGATAAGAGCTCTATATGGAAAATTTTCATCAATTCGTGGTTTCAGGCGGCTAAAAACTCTCTGGAAGATATTTTTAAGCATAACTTACCAAAGATATTTTTCTCTGGCAGGTTTAGAAGTATTATTCTGGGTTTATTTGGGGATCGGGTATAATCCCTTCCACTGAAGCTATTGTGGACATATAAAAATTACTGGGCCAACTATGATAGCTATTGAGCTCTTAAAAGCTACCGGGCTATATTATTGGGTCGCTCGTGGTGGTTGTTGGGTTTTATAAAAATATTAATATGGACCCATTCGGATAAAATTAATAATTGAATTAATCCGGGTCATTAAGAAAATACCCAATTGATTTAATTATGAATTAAATCTTGTAAAGAATGGACCGATCCTATTAATTTTGAACCCATTATCAAATATTGGCTCAATATATAAGAGTCATGATCCAATTAATAAAGAGAGCAATGAATGTGGTTAAGAAATCCATCCGTATGCATGAAAAATGGCTGTGAACTATTAAAAAGGCTGTCCAGATACATCAAACAAGTGCTGATTTTTCTAGCTATCAAATGCAAGCAAATAGAGCCCAAAGCCCATTTTCTTTGAAGCCCTAATCATATGAACGAATTTCACAACCCTAAAAGCATATTTTCACCCCCTCCACACCTATAAATAGGGGTCTCAGTTGAGAGAAAGAGGAGGAATTTTTCAGACGAAGAAACGCTGCAGAAAAGCTCTCGAAAACTCCCGAAAGGCTCTCAACGATTCCGAAGAAGAGGAACAGATCAAGCCACAAATTTTATTAAGAATATACGAATAATCCTTTGTGATTTCGTCGATTCTTGATAAAATAAATCCAAAAGTTGAAGAACATTCGAAGATCCGAAGAACGAAGCTTGAAGATTTGAAGATCTGAAGAACAAGACTTTGAAGATTCGAAGATATGAAGAACGAATCTTTGAAGATTTCAAGATACTCATATGAAGATTGAATTGAAATTTAATTGAAGATCAAGTCATATATCCCGGGAGGCCCTTAAACAAAAGATCAAGCCATAAAACGACCCTTTTGTTGAAGATAAAGCCACTTGAAAACCGGAGGCCCTTCAAGTTGAGTTCTTAATTCAAGAAGATTAGAAGATCCGACGAACGAAGATTCGAAGATTCGAAGATCTCAAGAATGAAGACTTGAAGATCTGAAGAACGTTCGAACGTTTGAAGGATTAAAGATTTAATTTTTAATTAATTTCTTTAATTATATTCATGTCAAATTGCAAGTGAAGAATCAGAGGATTCATATTTAGAGATTGTACCCAAGCAGTTGCATTGAAAGAGGTGAAGAAGGAAAATGTTGCTGATTTCATCTACCGCTTTGGTATTCCCCGATATATCTTGACGGACAATGGGAAACCTTTTGACAACAAGTTGATGGATAAGATATGCAAGTTATTTGATTTCAAGCAACGGAAGTCCTCTATGTACTATGCTGCCGCCAATGGCCTCGTTGAAGCTTTTAACAAGACTCTATGCAACCTGTTGAAGAAAGTAGTGTCAAAATCAAAGAGGGATTGGCATGAAAGAATGGAAGAAGCATTATGGGCATATAGAACGACTTATCGAACACCTACTCAAAGCACTCCATATTCTTTGGTGTATGGTACCGAAGCAGTCCTTCCCCTTGAGCGTCAAATACCATCTCTGAGATTGGCTATTCAAGAAGGACTCACTGATGAAGAAAACGTCAAGTTGCGGTTGACAGAACTCGAGGCACTTGATGAATAGAGGTTAGAAGCTCAGCAGAACCTAGAATGCTATCAAGCTCGTCTATCGAAATCATTCAACAAAAGGGTTAGAATTCGCTCATTCCAAGTTGGCGATAAAGTTCTAGCTGTGAGAAGACCTATCATTATCACACGAAAAACGGGACACAAATTCTCACCTAAATGGGATGGTCCTTATGTTATTCAAGAAGTATATTCAGGCGGTGCCTACAAGTTGGTCGATGGAGATGGCTCAAAGATTGGCCCGATCAATGGAAGATTTTTAAAGCTCTACTACCCTTGATATTTGGGGTATAGATATGGCCATAAGAAATGTTGAATGGCTTAAACCCACCAATGATGTTGTAAGTGGTTAAACTGCTAAAACATCTCACCTTGTCTATGGGTGGGCATAATCATAGATACTCTTGGCCCACGAGAGTTTAAAATGTGTACGGCAAGCTCTTGGCCCACGAGAGTTAAAAATGTGTACGGCAAGCTCCTGGCCTGCATGAGTTAAAACTGTGTACGGTCCCTTCAAATTACCAATTCAAATGGTCCATATGAACTACGTTTGACTTGATCTCCTTCATAGGAGTACATAGGCAGCTCAAAAGTTTCATTTTTGAGTTCAGTTATAACAACACAAACCCTCAATAAAGTTTGATCTCAGTCACTTTGAAAAAAAAAAGAAGAAAACAGAAGAAGAAGCAAAGCAATATCAACTCATGAGAAGCAACAAAGGAAGCAAATATCCATATATAGTTTGGTAAGAAATATGGAAAAGAGTTGTTTGCTGACTAAAAGCTAATCTAAAAGCTAAGCATCAGCCTAAAAACAATTTAAAGCTAACTAAGTCATCCTTCAAGGCCTCTAGCTCCTTCTTTTGAGAACTTAAAGCAAATTGATCCTCATCTGATGCTTTGATAGTCTTCAAAATCCGTGAAGATTCTTCCTTAGCCTTCGTAAGAGCTTCGTCTAAGTCACTAGCCTCTACACGACACTTGGAGATTAAAACTTCTACTTCCTTAGCTTCAGCTTCCAATAAGGTTATCTTCTTCTTGATATCATTAAGAGATTTCTCATCATCAAGTAGTGCCACTTGGTTTTGAGATCTCTTAGCTTCAATATCTTCACAAAAAGCCTGCGACATAGCCAATTCCTGAGATTGTTTCTCATAAGGAACCCTATCAACAACAGTCGAGCACGTTTGATCAAATGTTTGTGCCCTTTCAAAGAAATGCTTCACTCTCGTCTTCAACATGGAAAGGTCAATGCCCTCCTTCTCCATCAAGATAACACAATTCTCAACACTCTCCCGAAGAGATGAGACGTTCTCTGTTGTAGCCCGTCCTAACTTTTGTTGAATGTCACTCCAAGTATTAATGATGAACTGCTTATACAAAGTAAAGAAGTAGTCTTCTGCATGGAATACAGATGCAGCCAGTTTCGCATGAGAAGACTTGGGTATTTCATGGATCGGAACTTCTTTGCAATGACTTGGACTGGTTTCTGCTATCAATCCAGCGACGGTGTCATGATCTGCGCTTTCTCCTTCACTTGAGCTAGATGAAAAAACATGATTCGAGGAACTAGCATCATCAAGGACTACGTGAATCTGCAAAAGAAAAAAAATATAAGTACACGCTTTAAATAAAACTATGAAATGATAGAAACTAACCTTCAGTGGCCCAACATGAGGTTTCCTAAAATGCTTCCAGTTCCTCTCATCACTACTCTGCCTTTCATTGGCAGGAGACATTTCCTTCTCAGCATCCTTAATCAAAACAGCAGCCCTAGGTGTTACAAGCTTACCCTTTTTCTGAGGCAAAGACTTAGCTTCAGTATCAGGCATTTTTTTCTTCTGGGAGATTGGAGTCACAGGATCTGAAGGGGTGATCACATCACCAACCGCAAGATCGCAAATCTTGATCAAGTCGCTCACATGATTCTCCAAATAACTTCCATGAACTTGACCCCACCATTCTTTATACTGCAATGAATAAAATTTCGTTGGAATAGTAGGAGGAGTCGGAAATACCGCTTCAGCTTGTGACATGCCGTGCTCAAACTGTAGCCAAAGCTGAAAACCAGCAGCAAGTGTGACACTCCGATTACGCATCTCAAGAAAGCCAGAAGCATAAGCCTGAAAATACCCAAATTGGCGACTAAAGCGGTGAGGAGTGTAAGGCTCAGCAATGCAATGATCCCGATAGCGTAATACAAGATAATTAGACCGAAGACTCCTAAAAAGCGCCAACTCAGCCTCTGGAGGATTTTTACCATCGAAGAATGAATATTCTTTGATTCTCCGATATGTAGAACACACCCATGCTGATACATCTCCCTGGAAAATTCGTTTGCGCGCACTTCTCTTCTCGAGGGATCTCGCTCCACTTTCTCCCGAATAAGAAATCATTAATGGTGTCGTGGACTGGATCTCATTCTTAAAATGCGTATCAAAGTATGATGCCAACCATCCATAGACATAGTGAACAGGAAAACACGTTCTAACTTGATCAGGAGCTGGAGCATTCGAGATCCGATTAAGGCCATGATAGACACTTGCAAGAACCGGGACCGCAAGGCATACACGTTTCCCTCGAGCCAACATACAAGCAACTCTGAATGTTTCCGGGCGGATAACTCTAGGACCTTCATGCGGCAATACAAATGCACAAAGCCAACACGATAAAAATGCCGCTAAATATACCTCTTCCTCATATTCAGCAGGAACCTTGAGTACGTGGAATGGTACCTTCATAGAATTCGATCATCCTCCAAATTTTGGAATAGCTCCGCTCGGATTATGGGTCGCCTTGGTACGAGATGTTCGTTTCTTTTCTGTTCTCACTGGAGGCATATTATACTTGGAGGCCTTTTTGAACCAGAATTTGAACCATGCATGAACACGCAAAACATGCTTATCTCCGGCTTTGGGAAAGAGATGATAATATGCGTGAAACAAATATTTGCAGAGATGAAGTGAACGGTCAGCGTTCGTATTTAACAACTCAGAAGTGTCCAGAATAGATTCATCATATGCGTCTCCTATGATAGGCAATCCTCCGATAACGTGCAAGTCCCAAAGTGTGATCGTCAATTCGCCAATTGACGTAAGCAAAGTATTCGTCGTGGGACACCATGCCTCACAAAATGCTTGAATAGCATTAGTACATCGGTCATACGTGAATAATGAGGCATAAACAGCATCGTAAATAAGCCCTTCCTCCAGAACGCTTTTACTCATGCTCAAAATATCCTCGGCCCAGTCCCAATAACCTGTGATGAATCTAAATTCACCACCAAATGATAAGGTCTTTGTCAAAGTTCATCAACGATGCGTCTACCCAAAGAAGGAAGAATCTCAGAAGAGGACATGTGAGTAAAGCCAGATACTAAAGTCCGCATTGTCTGAGCTTGATACTCGCACTCAGGAGTCCAATTTGTAACTCGATATGACACAACCGTTGGATCCCAAAACTCGCGAGCAAATGGCTTGTGCATCTCCAAAAGAATCTCTTCGTCATTTTTTTTGCTCGTTGATATAGAGAGATACTTTTTGCCTCCACGCCTTACGTCCTTAAAATATATCATTTTGGGCTGCAAAAAAAAAATCATTATTCTTATTATTATTACTAAAAAAACTAAAATAATAATAATAATAAAAAAACAACAGGCCGCTCAGCAATGATAATCAATCCCAAGCCCGAGCAATTGACTTCATCTTCCGCCTAGACGAACAAAGAAATAAGTAACACTGGCCAATAATTAGACAAGCTCCTTCAGAATGGACAAAGGTCGAAAGTAGCGGCAACATCTCAGTCTTCAACAGGTGCAATTAGCCGAATCCTCTAGATTGGTGCCACTAGCCCAACGAAGGGCCCCAAGTGACACCGATGACCGGCAATCGGACCAATTCTTTAGATCGGTGCCACTAACCCAATGAAGGGCCCAAAGCGACACCGATGATCGGTAATCGGACCAATTCTTTAGATCGATGCCACTAACCCAACGAAGGGCCCCAAGCGACACCGATGACCGGCAATCGGACTAATTCTTTAAATCGGTGCCACTAACCCAACGAAGGGCCCCAAGCGACATCGACAACCGGCAATCAGCCTAATTCTTTAGATCAGTGCCACTAACCCAACAAAGGGCCCCAAGTGACACCGACAACTGACAATAGGCTTAGCTCCTTCCTCTTCAACAAGTGACACCACGTTCAAATCACTTCAAGTAGCAAAGAAATCAGGCCTCCTTATTATTAAATAGCTCCACTTGTGGAATATAGCCCAAGCCTTTAAAAATGGGAAGGCTTAAATTCTGAACGGGCCCAACTTTTTTAAAAGTCAAGCTAGGATCCAGATTCCTAGCAGAGTGACAGATATGGACGGACTCCTCCATCTCCCTTCTCCGATCATCTTCACGTAGGGGAGTACGGCAGCCTAGCTATAGAGCTCATTGACGAACATAGCGCGAAGAAAATTCTGCAGCAACAACATCGCATCAGTCTCATCTTTTACAGCGAGCAACAAAGCAGATTCCTCCTCGCCGAAATTACGATTTTGAGCATCAAATTAGCAGATCAGGTTTCAGGTCCCGTCACCACAAAGATAGCAGCGGCCAAAGACCACCGACCACAGCACCTGAAGAAATTGGCGATCTCAACGTCCAAGTTCACCATCGGTCTGTTGCTCACCATAAGAATTCAGCCCCAAGCTCTGCCTCCAACAAATTTCTCCTGCAAATATGCCAAAGGAGGAAGAAAGAATGGTAATAAAAGAAAAAAAAAATTACCTGCTGTTATCTCTTGTTTCAGAAACCTTGAGTGCTATGCCTTGAAACCGAAGGTGTAAAAGAAGACGAATTGGAATTGATATTTTTGCATCAGCAGAATTGAAGTCCTTATAGGATAGCCATCCATAAAAGTTGAAGACAATAGGGAATCTCCTATACTACGTATAAGTTGATATCTCCCAGTGAGAATTGCAATTGGAATATGTTACGAAGTAATATAACCCACTTTAACTCAAAATCGGGATTGCATTTGGTTAAAGAAGTTAATTAAATCCGCTGCGTTTTTGCACCTTAAATGAGCCCGATGGAAATCATATAATTTTAAATCAATAAGTTCGATTAATCTTGTTTATTGATTTAAGATTGTTTTTCAAAATCGGGCTAATTGTGATGGGCAAATAAAATCCATTTTCGAGACTCACTTGTTTGTGATTAAATCGGTACATCCAATCAAGTCTCGAGGGGGACATATAAAAATTATTGGGCCAACTATGATAGCTATTGAGCTCTTAAAAGCTACCGGGCTATATTATTGGGCCGCTCGTGATGGTTGTTGGGTTTTATAAAAATATTAATATGGACCCATTCGGATAAAATTAATAATTGAATTAATCCGGGTCATTAAGAAAATACCCAATTGATTTAATTATGAATTAAATCTTGTAAAGAATGGACCGATCCTATTAATTTTGAGCCCATTATCAAATATTGGCTCAATGTATAAGAGTCATGATCCAATTAATAAAGAGAACAATGCATGTGGTTAAGAAATCCATCCGTATGCATGAAAAATGGTTGTGAACTGTTAAAAAGGTTGTCCAGATACATCAAACAAGTGTTGATTTTTCTAGCTATCAAATGCAAGCAAATAGAGCCCAAAGTCCATTTTCTTTGAAGCCCTAATCATATGAACGAATTTCACAACCCTAAAAGCATATTTTCACCCCCTCCACACCTATAAATAGGGGTCTCAGTTGAGAGAAAGAGGAGGAATTTTTCAGACGAAGAAACGCTGCAGAAAAGCTCTCGAAAACTCCCAAAAGGCTCTCAACGATTCCGAAGAAGAGCAACAGATCAAGCCACGAATTTTATTAAGAATATACGAATAATCCTTTGTGATTTCGTCGATTCTTGATAAAATAAATCCAAAAGTTGAAGAACGTTCGAAGATCTGAAGAACGAAGCTTGAAGATTCGAAGATCGGAAGAACAAGACTTTGAAGATTCGAAGATATGAAGAACGAATCTTTGAAGATTTGAAGATACTCATATGAAGATTGAATTGAAATTCAATTGAAGATCAAGTCATATATCCCGGGAGGCCCTTAAACAAAAGATCAAGCCATAAAACGGCCCTTTTGTTGAAGATCAAGGCACTTGAAAACCGGAGGCCCTTCAAGTTGAGTTCTTAATCCAAGAACATTTAAAGATCCGACGAACGAAGATTCGAAGATTCGAAGATCTCAAGAATGAAGACTTGAAGATCTGAAGAACGTTCGAACGTTTGAAGGATTAAAGATTTAATTTTTAATTAATTTCTTTAGATATATTAATGTCAAATTGCAAGTGAAGAATCAGAGGATTCATATTTAGAGATTGTACACAATATTCTCACATATTATTATTTGCGATCAATTTTAAGTAAGTACTTAAAATTTGTTTCACAGCTATAATCTTCCAAATCGAGCTATATACCAGGAATTAGGTCCAGAGTCTATCAAAGGAAAAGATTCGTTAGGTGGGCTCAATTCTTTATGATGAAGGTTTGATTCCTAAAAAAAATCTAAAAGCTTCAATCTCACTAAATGAAGGTTTATGCCAGTTAAATGGATGCAACCAAGAGGTAGATTAAAACTAAGTGTGGATGCTAAGTTTGATGAATCCTTACCTGGTCAAGCTGCGGGAGGTGCTATCATGCAAAATGAGGGGATATGGTTTTTGCTTTGAGGTTTTCCGGTACAAGCTTCTACAGCGGCCATAGCGGAAGCATTAGCTGTGGTTATATCTGTAGTGTGTGTGGGGGGGGGGGGGGGGGGGGGTCGAAGCTGGTTCCGATGGCTTCACAGTAGAAACGGCCGTTGCTGAGATTCTAGATTATATTTCCGACAACAAGGTTGCTTGGTGGTCGGTTGATATTCAGGAGATGAAGAGGAGACTAATCAGGAAAGATGTTAACTTTAGGCAAACATTTAGACGAGGTAATTGGGCCGCCCACTTTTTTGCATCTGGTTCGGCCTAATTCACCTATTTTAATAGGATTAGTTATCTCATGAAATAATGATCCCATTATAACATCCCATGTTTCTGATGACAAATATATGACTGTTGAAGAGAATTACTTTAATGTGCATTCGTTATAGATAGAAAGTGTAACTAAGGATTATATGTATTGAACTAATTGGCTCATTGGCTCATTTCTTGTAAAACCCTAATCCCTCCTATTTAAAGGGACCTACTAATGGAATGAACACACATCTATCACTTTCCTACAACACATTATCAGTACGTAGCCCTAAATCTATTTTTTTCTCCCGTTCTCCCAACACTCAATCCGCAGCCGCACCTCCAGCAGTCCAGCCGCGCCGCCAGCAATCCAGCCACGCTTGGCCGCCTCACAACGCACCGACCGTCGCTCGGCCTCCCCCTTCCTAGCCTGCGACTCACCAATTCCCGGATCTCTTTTGAGGTATTTTTTTACTCAAAAATCATTGCAGAATCTTATGTATATGATTTATTGCATCATGTTTACCATTGTGATGAACATCATTGATTTTTTTTTTATATTAAGTTGTCATTTTTTTGAGATCCATTTCTTGCACACCAACGAGTGTTTGATGATATGCCTCATCCATTTTTTTTGAGAGATAAATGCAAATTTTTATTATAATTCCGTAATGATATATGTTATAATCATATAGTTGGAATCAATATCACATTATGCATTCCTCTTCATTTTTATACATCCATGTGATCATACTTTTTCGTAAAACTATATGCCATATACATATAGTTGGAATCAAAGATCACACGATTAATCTTATTTTCATGTATTTTATATGATTATATGATTATATTTTCCGTAAAGCTATATGTTAGATACATATAGGTGGAATTAAAATCATATTATGCACTTTTTTAATTATTTTATACATATTATGTGATTATATTTTTCCGTAATGCTATATGTCACTTACATATAGTCGGAACCATTATCACGTAAGATTACTATATTTTATGCCTAATCCGTTCATTAGACCAATATTAATACTTTCTATATTAAAAACACCATATAACATTCTATAAAAATCTCTATGATTTTTTTAAGGAGGTGAATATATATCTCCTGGCTTCGATGCATTGTAAAATATTGTCTACAAAGAGACATACCCTCATGATTATTTTTTTGTGATAAAGAATTTTCACACAAAGAATCGATTTTGTTTATACACAAGTTTCTGTTTTACATCATATGAACTACACAAGTTCATGAATGTACTCATGATCATGTAAATTTTTTTAAGATGGTTGACCATCTCAACTTGTATTTGGCATTTTGGCCTCAGACGGATTTGAGTACCATTATTCAGTTTTCTATATTAATTATTTGTGTGATAAAGAATTTCCACACAAGGCTCTACAAATTTAATTGACCAATCAATTTGACCGGAGTTTGACATTATGCACTCAAATGAACTTGAGTATCTTCAACGCTTATTTTAGAATTCAATGCTACTCCGGCACACTTTGTGAAAAGCAAATCACAAAAGCTTATTTAATTTGATAGAAAAAAATTAACCATTTTTACACATACTTCTCTAGACATATACTAATGCATCAGTATATATTAAATAATTATGTAACTAACTAGCTTTTAGCTTGCACTAGTGAATGATGTTTATTGTTATTGTGTCTTTTTTTTTTGAAATGCAATTACAATATTTTTTTGGGGGATAAAGAAACCTCCCAAGAGTTATTTGGATAAAGAAATTTCCAAATGAAAAAAAATTGAAAATATAAATTTTAAAGTAAATCCCTTAATATAAGAGGATTAAATGTGATTATCTCGTCAGGATATATATAACTTGAAAATATACTTTTAGTTTTTATCTTCGTAGAATCTCTAAAGAATAAGAGATTCACTGCATGAGAATATAAATTAAGTTTCATGATTGTCTACTATTTTGAGAATAAGAACATTCTCCAATTACTACTTCTAATTAGACTTTTATTCAAGACTTAAAGTTTGGTATAAATTATATTCGTTTGAGATTTTTAATTAATTTAACATCTCATTGTTCTATATGAAATTATATTTGAGATGTTTATGCATTCGAATTCATTACATGCATATCTATGAATTTTATTCATAAAAGAATGGATACAAATGAAAATATCCACAAAATAGTAGAATGATATGTACCACAGTCAACTTGGAGTCATAGCACTCTAAGGTATATAGGTGACATTTGTAAATTATTGAAATCTGTGACAAATAGGTGTTTTAACACATTGTGGTGATGTACAATAAATTAAGGAATATATTTATCGAAGTAATTCCTTAAAATCAGTTATGATTGAAACAATTGTACCCATGTCCTCACATAGAATGGAGTCATGTCATGAGTTTGAATTTGGTGAGCAGCCTTTTGTCAAAGTAACAAGAATGACCTTATATACCTTTGTGGGGCTTCCCTGAACCCTCACAATGTGAGGATGCCAATGTCCACCAAGGTACCCTCAGTGTTTTCTTTAACATGGAAACTTGCTATAAAAGTGAGATAGAAAATATTAGATTGCATCTAATAAAAGCATAAGAAAATGCATATTTAAGCAGGTTATGAGTCAAAGTGGTCATTGACTCATACAAACTTTGAAATAACTCATTTAGGTTATTAATTATTCGAATAAAGGATGAAATGAGATCCAACACAATGTAAAATGTTGGTTTTAGCATTGATAAATAGAAAAATAATATCAATCTTCTAAAGTACGAGAAGAAATATTTACCTTTCATTATGGCTTACAGATATAGTAGAAGGCATGTCAGTTATTTCTTAAAGTTTACTCCTTAGCAAAAAATAGAATCGAGACATGTCCACATATGCTAAGGAAATAACAATAAAGATATCTCATTTTTTCAATACAATGTGATATGTGATGACTCATGTACCAAAATGCGGGCCATTTAAGTGATTATGGTTTGGTAGAAATTTACTCATGGTGTCTATTTTCCTGTTGCATAAAAATGTTGCATTTACAAAACTTCTAGCAAAACTTATTTATTATGGGTCCACCACCCGACCAATCAAGTCTATATGACTTGTTACTGCTAGATAGTTCTCATCAAAAGTACTTGATGATTATTGCATATTTTGCGAGATCAATGAAAAACATCTCGCATCCTATGTGAAAAAAAAGAACTGAGTAAAAATCACATCTAAAAGAATGTTGATGGTGAATATTATATCTATTATGCGCGCACTAATATTTTTTTATGGGATTATGCAATATGCAAGCACTCTTACACATTTGTTTTTTTAAACCGATACTAGACAACCACGTTTATGTATACCAGTTGGTGATTGCATATTAGCCTGAGATGTTCTACTTATGAATATGTGGTTGTTAAATAGTTGTGCCTATTGCGTCTCCCACAACACACTATAATCGGTTTTAAAAGAAAAATGATGTTTATGTTGGATATGAATCCCTAACAATAATCCGCTACTAGCCTTAACAAATAATGTGTACACTGCTTTGCGGGATATGACTTTGATGAGACAATTGGTTTTCCTGTCATTAGGGGGAGATTAGAGAAAGAACTCTCTAATTGAATGACAAAATCATTATGATGGTACATCACTACTTTGTCTCAATGATAAATCTTAGACTTCAAAATGTAACATTGAAGTTAAAGTGGTATCATAAATGATTGAAGTAATCAAATCATACACACTAGCTGCAAACATATTTATAAGGCTTGAATTTAAATTTAAAGAAACAATGCTAAAGGAAGAAGCATTGCAATCACAAACAGTGGGGTTGTGGTTGAGGTTGTGGCTCTCTAAAGGAATAGAGGGAAGCCACATGGTTCGATTAATTATCCACCCCAAGTAGTAGAGGGTAGATAAGGTACAAACCAATATACTCGTCATCATATGAATTCCTCTCATGAGATTATCTCTGATTAAACATGTCCATGAATTTATAATGGGGGACGCCCCGAAGTTTAAATGATTTCAGAGAATTAAAATCTCAATGTTAATGAGAGAGTGTATGAGTCGAATGATAGACCTTACACTTATACTGACGGTATATCTATACAGTTGCTCAAAGAGCATAGAGCACGATGATATCGAACCATACTCTATTGCAATATGAAAGCAATGAGAATATTGGCCTAAATGCGTACAAATAATCCAGGTATAAATTTAATATTTGACAAAGAGACATGTATTTGGTATGATAGTGTTAATCAACCAAGTGTAAAACATGTAGGACATGAAATAATTTTTTGTTAGAAAGCGTACTGAGATAATGAGGTCCTAATTATTCTCACAACGCCCTAGATTCAAATATGAAAAGTTATACCTCTCTATTTTGAACACAAAAATGTTCAACTACTTAATCTATAAGTAGACTCCAAAGTAATGGAGACGCAGCTAAAGATTGTGGAAATTAAATGTCTCAATAGAATTTCATTAAATAGATGTATATGAAGTATTTGTTATGTTTTTATTATCTTTAATCAAGTGGTTTTTAAATTACATTGTATATTTACATTGAAACGTTCACATTTGGATTAAATCAATCCAGACGAGAGTGACATACCCATCTAAGTGACCACTTGACTGAAAAGGGAGAGAAAAAGATAGATTATGTTTTCCCTCCAAGTATCATTATATGTCAACGATATAGACATAGTATCTTGGGAAACTCAGGTTGTTTTGAAAACACCGAGTTGGTTGAATAATAATTCACCGGTTGCATATATCCAAAAAGGTTCTCAGGCAAATTAGCATGGATAAATGTAAACCGTTAGCACTCCCATGATTGGTCGAAATATGGATGTTAGAAAATATATCCATTATTGGAAAGTTATTGGGAGAAGAAATTCCCTATAAAAGTGTGATATGCGCATGATTGTACTTTGACAAACACATTCAACCAAATAATACATTCTCAAGAACGTGTTAGCTGAAAATAACACAGG